TTTGGTTCTTATTGCGTGGACGGGGTGTGAGGGATGAGGTGCGGGAGATGTGGGAGACACGGTTGAGGGCGTTCTCGACCACCGAGGAGGGGAAGTTACGGTCCTTGAAAAACGAGGACAACTGAGATGTACGGGAGTGGAATGCCTCATCCTGGGAGCAGATGCGGCGGAGGCGAAGGAATTGGGAATAGGGGATAGCATTTTTGCAGGAAGGTGGGTGGGAGGAGGAGTATTCTAGGTAGCTGTGGGAGTCGGTGGGCTTGAAATGAATATCGGTTTCGAGGTGGTTGCCCGATATGGAGACAGAGAGGTCCAGGAAGGGGAGAGAGGTGTTAGAGATGGTCCAGGTAAACTTAAGGTTGGGGTGGAAGGTGTTAGTGAAGTGTATGAACTGTTCGAGCTCCTCGTGGGAGCACGAGGCGGCGCCGATACAGTCATCAATGTAACGGAGGAAGAGGTGGGGTTTAGGGCCGGTGTAGGTACGGAAGAGGGATTGTTCCACGTAACCTACAAAGAGGCAGGCGTAGCTTGGGCCCAAACGGGTACCCATGGCTACCCCCTTTGTCTGTAGGAAGTGGGAGGAATTGAAAGAGAAGTTGTTGAGTGTGAGGACGAGTTCGGCTAAGCGGATGAGGGTATCAGTGGAGGGGGACTGGTCGGGCCTGCGGGACAGGAAGAAGCGGAGGGCCTTAAGGCCATCTGCATGGGGAATGCAGGTGTAGAGGGACTGGACGTCCATGGTAAAGATGAGGTGTTGGGGACCGGGGAATTGGAAGTTCTGGAGGAGGTGGAGGGCATGGGTGGTGTCACGGACATAGGTAGCGAGTTCCTGGACCAAGGGGGAGAAAATGGAGTCGAGATAGTTGGAGATCAGTTCGGTGGGGCAGGAGAAGGCGGAGACAATGGGTCGACCAGGGCATTCAGGTTTGTGGATTTTGGGAAGGAGATAGAAGCGGGCAGTGCGAGGTTGGGGAACGATGAGGTTGGAGGCCGTGGGTGGGAGGTCACCTGAGGTGATGAGGTTGTGGATGGTTTGCGAGATGATGGTTTGGTGCTCAGGGGTGGGGTCATGATCAAGGGGGCGGTAGGAGGAGGTGTCGGAGAGTTGGCGTCCGGCCTCGGCGATGTAGAGGTCAGTGCGCCATACTACAACTGCACCTCCCTTGTCCGCGGGTTTTATGGTGAGGTTGGGATTGGAGCGGAGGGAGCGGAGGGCTGCACGTTCTGCGGGGGAGAGGTTGGAGTGGGTGAGAGGGGTGGAGAGGTTGAGGCGATTGATGTCTCGACGGCAGTTGGAGATGAAGAGGTCGAGGGAGGGTAGGAGGCCAATGGAAGGGTTTGTTTTCTCTGGCCTATGTATCTCCAGATGTGGGCAACCTAAGAGGTATTACAGCTGTAGGGTAAGCAAACTCTTAGTTTACACTGGTCACTCGTCCTATGAATTTGGAATAAAAGACGTTTTGACCCTGGTAATATGTTCATTATATCAAGGAGCTGTTTCACAACTCCTGTCCATTGTATTGAAAGAACAATGTTCTGTGTTGAGAGATAATCGCTGAGCTGTGTTGTGAGATCGACCCCTGGTGGCTTGTGGTTGGAGTAGAGAGCTTCCTCCTTGCTGTAGAAGGCCATAGGCCTGTTCAGTTAGCAGTAATAGAGGATAAACCACTGATTGTGTCAACAAAAGGAGACACTTGTCTTAATAGCAAGGTGGCACTGTGGCTCAGTGGTTAGCATTGCTGCCAAACCGTACCAGGGTCCCGGGTTTGATTCCAACCTCAGGTGGCTGTCTGTGTGGAGTGTGCACGTTCTCCCTGTGTCTGTGTGGGTTTCCTCTGGATGCTCCGGTTTCCTCCCACAGTCCAAAGATGTGCAGGTTAGGTGGATTGGCCAGGGTAGATTGCCCCTGGATAGTGTTCTGGGGATGTGCAGGTTGGGTAGATTAGCCATGGGAAATACAGGAAGAGGTTGGGGGTGGGGCTGGATGGGATGCTCTTCTGAGGTTCGGTGTGGACTTAGTGGGCCAAATGGCTTGCTTCCACACTTCAGGGATTCTGTGAACAGGATTGCATGGTAGTAATAGGCACAAGTTATATTAACTAGCTAGGCATAATGGTTAACACTAACCAGAGATGATGGATCTGACTCTGTTAGGATCTCGATTCATCGGCTTTCCACCCAAGCCTGTGTGACATCATCAGATTGGGTGAAGCCTAATACAGTCTCCATCACTGACACTTTCTGAACCGTTACCTTATACAATAATCACCAAATCCTGACTGCAGAACCAATAGTGACACTGTCGCTCATGCCCCACAATCACTAGCCGCCTGTCTGCAATGAACAGTCCAGGCCATTGGAGCTGTTGAGACTCAGCAACCAGCTAACGGAGATTAACATCACAGTGCATTTCCGAGCGAGAGTGTCGCATTGGGTCACGAGCTAATCTTGTTCATCTGACCTAATGATCTGTGCGGATATTAAAGTGTCTAGGATACCAGTTGAAGAAGAATATTGGCATCCCTTGTGCTGTTTTAACCTTCCTGCAAATGTAATGTCAGATCTAACTAATATCCCAGCTTGTTGCTTTTTGTGGGATTTCACCATTTTCAAAATTAGTGCTGCATTTGCCCTCCTCCACAGCAGGTCAATGCATTTCAAAGCAGTTCCATTTATCTGAAGACACTTCGTGATGTTAGTAATGCAAGCCTTCCTCCATCTCTGACTCCCTCTCATCTATCTCTCCCTTCTCCCTCTTCCATCATTTCCTCCCTCTATCCTCCTCTGCTCCATCTGGCTTTTATTTAGCCGTTTCCACGGGACTGAAAGTAAAAGTGCTTGTTAACGCTGAACGCAGGAACAGTTTGCAAAATGCCTCGATCTATCTTTAAAAAGAGAAGCTGGGCATTCTCGTGCATGCCAGCTGCAATGAGGGTTAATCTTGTTTTACTGGGGCCACTTGCTGCCCAGGGACCAGAAAGGTAGCTGTGAACTACAATTTGTCCACATTTATATTGGTGAATGTTTGGTCTGACTGCTATGAATGACAGAATCACTGAATTGTTAGCTATTTGGCCCATCGTACTTGCACTAACTCTTGAAATGAGCATCATTACCCAGTGCCAATCTCCTGCCTTTTCTCCATAGACCTGCACACCATTTCTATCCAAATAACCATCCATCAGCCCTCTTGAATGCCCCAATTGAAACTACCTCCTCCACATTTCAAAGCAGTGCATTCCTAACTACTCGCTTTGTAAAAATGTGTTTTTTTTCTCACATTACCCTTGCTTCTTTTGCGCAAGACTTTAAATCTCCACCTTCTCATTCTTGTTCCTTTTATGAGCAGAAACAGCTTTACTCTATTGACTCTATCAAGCCCTGCTCATGATTTTGAAAACCTCAATCTCTTATCAGCCTTCTTCTCTCCAAAGTAGAACAGTCCCAACTTCCTCAATTGATCCTCGTCGCTGAAGTTTCCGATCCCTGGGACCATTCTAGTAAATTGCTTCTGCACTGTCTCCAGTGCGTTCACATCTTTCTCGTAACGTGGCACCCATAAACCGTGCACAGTACTTTAGAAGTGGGTTCAATTTTATTACCATTCCTTGGACTGGTTGTGGGGTCTGTTGGTCTTTACTGCCTGTCGCTGCCATCTGCAAATCTTAGATCATCAGAGATAAAAATCCCCAGAAGAGACGTGATTTAATTTCCTCCGCTCTTTTGCCAAGCTATCATCCAGTTTGCTTTTTGACCTGTGCAAACCTTTATGATTGAATGGAAAGAATCCATTACTTCTGAAATAGCTCTTTCTTGGTTGGGTTTGTCAGGCAATCCCATGCATTATAATTGTCCATATGCATTTACATATACCCCTGAACAATTTCACTGATTTGCAGCTTGTTGCCTGACATGATGTAGTTGCAGACATAGCCAAAAGAGGGAGCCCAGCCCAGGAGGCAGGTTCTAAGCTTCAAAGGCCTAACCCAACAGAATAAAGCGTAAGGGTCTAGGCCGGAAACGACAGCTTTCCTGCTCCTCTGATGCTGCTTGGCCTGCTGTGTTCATCCAGCTCTACACCTTGTTATCTCAGATTCTCCAGCATCTGCAGTTCCTACTATCTCTAAATAGTAAGTGTGTCTCCTACTCCAGAGGAATTAGAAATGAGCAAGAAACGTTCACCTTGCCAGCAACATTCACATCCCATGAAAGAAGAAACAGACACTGTATACCCAGCCTGGTTGTTTCATATAGGACAATTTGTCCACTTTGATTTCTCAGCCCTTTCTAACACAGTTCGTGGTCTGTCCCATGCCCCATCAGTTGTTGAATCATCCTATCTGTGCTTGCATTACCTTGTTTCCAGTACCCTACTGACTGCCAGGTCTTTTATATTTCCCCCGCTGTTCTACAATGGAGACAGCTTTCCGCTGCCCGCTTTGGTTCGTGTGCCAGCGTTGGGCGTTCTGTCAGAAGGCATCAGTGGGTTAATCCAGGGGGTATTTGAAAGCACTGGGCCACTGACAGGGTGACCTGGAGTTGCTCTTTGTGAACCAGCTGCCCTTGAAACATACAAGTGGATCCAGGGAAGTACCTAATCAGTCATGCAGATAAACTGAGCAATCAGTGCAATGTAAAGCTGACCCTTTGTAAAACCATTCGAAGCGGGTTGGGTGATGGAGATGCAATATTCAGGATCTGTATTCACTATCCACAAACCCTATTATGAGTATGAACTTGCCTTCTCTGAAGTACTTGGGTTTAATCTAACTATCTGACATTATTGTCCCTGGAATGATTGTTTTGTTTGGATCTTACTCTCACATGTTTCATGAAATAGATTTTAAGTCGATTGTAACCAACGGTTGTCTTTAACTGAATCCTCAATATTGATTGTCAATTTAATGCCTTTCAATGAAACATTTGAGTTCAAACTTGTGCAGAGTTTTTCTTAAATTAACTAATAGATTGCTTGGCCTCCTGTGGATAGTTGATCTATTCAAAACTATAGAAACAGGCCATTCAGCCTAGCACTACATGCTGTTGTTCATGTTCCATACAAACCTCAATTCACCCAATCAATGCCTATATAGTTTTCCATTCTTTACTCCCTCGATTATTTATCTAGCTTCCCCTTAAGTGCATTTGTGTTCCAGTCTCTTCATCTGGGAGTTGAAATAACTCCATAGAGGCTGGTATCCCAATATCAAGTTGCCGTTTGCACATGGAGAATCCTTGACACTGATCCAGCTTCCTCAGAGCCAGCTCTCAGTGAACAGAACTGCTGAAATTCCTGTCTATATCTGTCAGCCAGGGCTCCCTGATTGGACCTGATTAACTTCCCCAATCAGGGAATGTGGTTTCAATGAGGTCCACCTGGCTGACCCTCATTACAGGAGTGAGTTCCAAATTCCTATCCTCTCAGAGTGAAGAGGCTTTTCTTAAATTTTCTACTTGATTTACTGGAGACTTCCTAATTTCTGATCGTTGTCATCTTTGGTCTTTCATTTCACCCTTGGGTGGGAAACAGAAAAGCTGTGTGAGATTTTAACTTGTCCACATTCCACCCACTTGTGAAAACAGTTGAAATCAAGCACAGCTTTTATGTTCAAACTCTAACCTATCAAACCCTTTCATAACATTGCAAAGCACTATCAGGGTCAAGGTAACCTATATGTTTGCTTCAGAAGGTCTTACCTGATGAACGTGTTTTTGATATAACTTAGTTTGAAAGGCTTTATCAAAGGTAACTTTAGTTTCCTAAAATTACAGGGAAGGTACAGCGTAGAACTGTGCTGGTTTTGAGGCACCGCGGTAACATCCCACCCTCTGGACTGGGAGGCCCAGGTTCCAGTCCCACCTGCTCCAGAGGTGTGTAATAATATCGCTGAATGGGTTGATTAGAAAGATAGAACCGTGTCAGGATGGTCCAGTGGTTAGCACTGCTGCCTCACAGCATTAGGGACCCAGGCGACTGTCTGTGTGAAGTTTGCACATTCTCCCCGTGCCTGTGTGGGTTTCCTCCGGGTGCTCCAGTTTCCTCCCACAGTACAAAGATGTGCAGGTTACAGTGTGGAAACAGGCCCTTCAGCCCAACAAGTCCACACCGACCCTCTATAACCCACTGAATCCAGACACCCCTGAACACTATGGGCAATTTAGCATGACCAATCCACCCAGCCTGCAAGTCTTTGGACTGTGGGAGGAAACTGGAGCACCCAGAGGAAACCCACGCAGACACAGAGGGAATGTGCAAACTCCACACAGACAGTCACCCGAGGGTGGAATCGAACCTGGGTCCCTGGTACTGTGAGGCAGCAGTGCTAACCACTGAGCCACTGAGCCACCGAGCCACCGTGCTCTGATAGATATAGGCCATTCAGCCTATGTGACCTCTATTCACGTTGAGCGTGAGTCCACGAAACAATGATGGAAACTCACAAGACAGAAACAGTCCAATGGAGGCATGCTGACCTCCTGAATTATGTTACAAATCAGCCCATGACAGCTAGAAGCCCACTCTGCACCTGATCAGTGCAGTCTGTGACACGTCTTTACAAGGCCCATGTGGGAGACCTCAAAACAAGGATTACGCTCGCTCATGGCTTTTTATTACATAAAGACCAATGCAAGCCCATGGTTCTGGTCAACTCAGAAACAATCCTTAGTCATATTAGAAGGATTCTCAGATTGATAGCCAACCTGTTTAGCTCACCTTGCATGGCCACTGAGTCCTGAGGTGGGACTTGAACCCAGAAGCTTCTGGTCTAGAGCTAGAACCACAACCCATTGTGCCACAACAGACTGCTGACTGAGCTATGGATGAACTATACATTAAAGCAGCATAAATACTAATGTGGGTGGAGTGCTGCAGGGGAGGTATGGGTGGTGAGGTGTGGCTAAAGTCAGAAACAGCTTGTTCTGAACATCCCAGATTAATTTGGTTGTGTGGTGAAGACACAACGAAGGATCATATGAAGACGCCAGTGGGCAGACAGTCACTTCCAAAGTGACCGTGGTTGGTGAATCTGGCTCCCAATGGTCGCTTCTTCTCTACTCTAATTCCAAGTCAAGTCAGGAGTGTTTACTTCTCCCATCTTATATCTTCCATTGATGAGGAGAGGGCCCACATGATGAGACAGACCACAAATAAGACAAAACGTGGATAACTGTGGTTACCTTATTAACCTTCCCACCCAAGTTGCAAATAGTGTCTCGAATGGAGTTATATTCACCTCTGCTCGCCCTCTTTTATGTGAGATTGATGTGAGAACTCACACACGGAAGAGGAGATTGGAATCCCGGCTTATGTGCAAGTTCCTTCGGTGTTTGCAGTTCCTGAAACATTGTTAAGCCTCCTGCAGGAAGCTGTTATTGGAAAGCGAAAGACTGAAAAGATGAAAAGGCATGGGCAGGTTGGGGTGGCAGAGGGGAGGCAGGGAGGGGAAAGGATGTAATTTACCCAGCAACAAACGTTCTTCTTTGACAAAACATAATTTTCTCGTTTCCCTGCTGGGCGACATGTTAAAGTGTGAGGGTGTGAGTGTGTGTAGAGTCAATGAGTGAGTGAGTGTGTATAGGCTCTGGGGCCGTGAGTGTGTGTATGTATCTATGTAGAATCTGGGACTGTGAGTGAGTGTGTATAGGGTCGTGTGTGTGTGTGTGTGTGTGTGTGGAATCTGTGGGTGTGCTTGAGTGAGTGAGTTTGTATAGTCTGTGGGTGGGAGTGAGTGTGTGTGTATGGAGTGTGTGAGTGTGTATGGAGGGTGTGGGTGTGAGTGTATATGGAGAGTCTGGGGGTGGGAGTGAGTGAGTGTGTATGGAGTGTGTGGGTGTGA